AGTGTTGTGCTGCTTTCGCTCAACGGCAGTGCGCAATGCTTCTCCGTCCCTTGCACCATGACTGATGAGGAAGTCGGCAACCTGGATCCTGTCATGCTCGATTGCGCTCATAAGGGGCGTCGGGTTGTCCTCGCTCCGATCGTCGGCCTCTGTTGGGTCGACTTTTGCACCTCGCGTCTTGAGAACTTGGACGAAGCAGAGGGCCCCTTCCCTCGCGGCTCGCTCCATCTGGCTGGCCAACCACCTTCGCTTGCCTCTCCCAGCCGCCATGTCGCCAGTCAGGCGCATATCGATCAGCTTGCCTATGGTTTCCTTCTGCTCTCTCAGGACCGCCGCACTGAGCTCCTTTTCCACTTCGCTAGCATCGAGGGGAATCAGGTTCTCGGTTTGACGAGTCTCCTTGGGACCATCAGCTTTGCCACTCATGCCCTCGAAGTACTTCAACAGCTTCAAGAAACTCTCAAAGATGCTCGAATCTTTGCTTCTTGCAGCGGCTTCGAGTGGTGAAGGGCCCCGAGTTGTCCTTTCCCTGGCGCTGCCAAGGCCATCATGCTGCAGAGCGAGCCGAATCACAGTGTCCTGACCAGTCAATGCCGCCCACGAGAAGGGTGTCATTCCGAACTCATCTTCCATATTCAGTATGGATGGCCCTTGGTCGAGATAGGCCAAGAACAGCGTTCCATAGCCGAGGGCGGCGGTCCAGCACAGAAGCTTCTGCAGTCTTTCTTCATTCGGGGATGGTACCATGTCCGGCCGGGTTGTGTTTGTGAACGCATGACTGGGTCGGCTCATCCCGTCGTCCGTAGACAGAGAGGCGGATACCTGCATGTTTGACGGATAGGCTTCCAGGAGAACCACAATCCTAATGTTTCTGGATTCTTCCGGTTGTTGCATCTCGATGTCGGCCGTTCCATTCTTGAAGGTTGTCACCTTGTCTCCAGTGATCTTGGGTAGAGGTCTTCTAGGGTTGTTGACCATCTTCTCGATGTTGTTGTCAGACTCAAAGTAGCCGACTTCTGCATCTTGGATGGCAACAGGCTTGTGGAAGCCATCCAGGATCTTTGTTGTGAAGGACAGGCTGAACTTGGCAACGAGCTTCTTGCGGCCATAGAATAGGTCTGCAGAGCAGTTCAAGTCGATGGAGACGAGAGCGCCGCGGGTGTGGTCCTCGATGTGGCTAATGGAAGTGGCCCTGTCGACGATGTCGATGGTGCTGGTCAAACGGAGGGGACTGCGGATCTGCATATCGGGCGTATTGTTGCCTATTGAGAAGAGGATAATCTGGTTATGACGAAACAGAAGACAAAAAGACTTCCAAGATAGGGCAGTCTGAATATCAGTGACTCGAGCTCTATAATGGACCTTGCACAGAAAACGTGAAGCTCTATCGTCACATCGAGTGCTGGCCCTTGGGATTATATGGGTTTACCGCCGTGGCATGGATCTTGCAATCGCGCCTCCTGGTCCAACTCGTCAACTCTGCTACGGTGGTGTTACAGAGCAGATTGGTGGCTTCATGAAGGCATATCGTTTCTCATGCCAACTCACCTGCATAAGCAGGGGACTGTCCATGTC